ATTATTATCTAATTAAAAACAAGTTTAGATTCAGCACTTAAAGAACCCTATATATATTTAATTTATGTTCAAATATAACACACACAAACTGATTAATTTTCCCAGGGGACCTGCCCTTTATTTCATTTGATTTGTTTTTTTGTCCCATACAAGGATATATATGGTTTAGGGGCGGGGATCTCAACCATTTACAAGTTCTTAAACAGGAAGAAGGTGGGAATGACCCCAAGGAACTCACCTTTTATTTCATTTCATTTGTTTTATTGTAACATACAAGAATATATATGGTTTCGCGGTGGGGATCTTGACCATTTACAAGTTTTCAAAAAAAAGGAGAGTAGGGATTACCCCAGGGGACTTCCCCTAAATTTAATTTGCTTTATTTTATTGTCCCATACAAATACATATATGGTTTAGGGGTGGGGATCTCAACCGTTTACAAGTTTTCAAAAAGAAGGGGGTAGGGTTTACCCCCGTGGACTTCCCCTATATTTCATTTGATTTGATATATTGTCCCATACAAGAATATATATGGTTTCTGGGTGGGAATCTTGACCGTTTACAAGTTATCAAAAAAAAGGGGTAGGGGTTACCCCAATGGACTTCCCCTATATTTCAATCAGAAAACAGTAAATTTTCAAATAAATCTGTCACTCCAATGATTATCATATGCTAAAATATTTCAAAGATCTAATTAATAATGAAAAGAAATCATTATCATATGCTGAAATATTTATTATATCTAATTGAACAGAACTATGGTTGTTTAACATAATACTCTAACATTATTAATAATGTAAAATCTTCAAAATGTCTAATGTTATAGCTTATAATCATTACCACTTAGGAAATAGGTAATTTTCAAATAAATCTGTCACTCCAATTTTTATTCTGAGATGAGACAAATCATAAAAAGATAACAACAGTAAAATATTTAAAAATTCTACTTTTGGATATTAAAAATGAAGATAACTCACAAAGATGATATACTAATATCTTGAAAATTAATAGAGACCTTCATTAAGTCCCAGGAAACAACATATTTAAATTTGAAAAAAATTTGTTAAAGCGTTTTCATGTTATTGTGCGGATGCTGTTTGGCAGCCGCCAGAGCCGCCCAGCCGCCCGCCGTATATAACCATTTTAATAACCGATATTTCCTTCGGTTAATAAAACATTACATTACGTGTTTTAAATATATAACAGAGAGACATTATATGTAAAATATTTAAAGAAACTATAGGTATAACATTGAAACTTCATAGAAAAGGTGTCTATTATATAACATATTTATAAGAAAATAACTTAATTTACAGTTTAAACCAGTTTTACACCAAATGATTAGTTAGCATACTTTGGATTTTAAACGTGCTAGTTCGCAAGGAAGACATGTCACCTTACTCGGCCTGCATTATTCTGTGTGTTAAATGTTCTCCTTTACACCATAACCCATGGTGGTGCTCCTACATTTGTACTAAAGGAGGAATATACAGAACTTACAAAAATACATACCACAGAGGCGATTATTATGTATGGAATATCTGTGAATAAAACACTAATTACTGTTTACCATCAATATACATAATTACTATTGAATGTTTTGCTTCATCTTATAATTATCACAGACTAAACCTTGAAAAATTCAATTTTCAAGTTTTGATTCTGAATGGTGCCAAACTAGAGGCGGATTTAGGGGGACAGGGTGCCCGACCCCATTTTGTGGGATACAATTGGGGTGATTATAAACGGAATGACTACGACATGAATGAAAAGAGTCGATCCCTCCTAGTCAGTCATGTAGTGTCCCATTTATGAAAGTTTCTTCATCCGCCACTACACTCCTCGTGGAAATGAAGATCTGGATGTGGTTTACAGAAAAAAAAATAGTGGAAAAAGGTGCAGAATAGAGAGGGAAAGAAAATAGAAATTTAGGCAAACTAATTTAAGGCTCTCAATAGCTACCGGTTTCGCTCATCTGATTCTACTTTGGTTTTAGAAATCATGTAAATGTAGATTAAAATCATAACAGATACCCTTATAATGATTGAGGCCAAAGTTGGTCTTATATTGGCCCCGTTATTTAATCAAAAGCAGAAGACTTTTGTAAAATTTACAGAAATTACCGATAAATTCATTACAATATCTCCAACAAGATGTTAATTGACAATTTTGCTCATGTTGACTTATGTGTAGATCTTCTTTTCTTGATATTTTTGCAGCTTACAGTATATCTCAATCGATAAATATACAAGTATTAAGGTAATTTTCTTAAAATGAGAAATAATTGCAAAATTAGTTCCACCCAGGGCCTGTACTATGCTGTATATCTTAACATATTTATTGGAACACCCTTCAATGATCTTCAATAAAAATTAAGGCAGGGGTCCGCACATGTAGGGCATTCATGCAATATGGCCATCTTGAACAGTAAATCGACAACAAATTAGCAACACTTCATAAGCACCTCATAAGGAACAGTTATGCCATGTTTGATTTCATTCCATTCAGTGCTCCTCTAGAAGAAGCATTTGTATGTCATAGGCGGATCCACGCCCCCCCCCCCCCCCCCTTCTTTCGTGGGAAAAATTTGGTTGATTATATAGGGAATCACTGAAGCATGACTGGAGTGGGCGCCCCCCCCCTTTATGAAAAGTTCTGGATCCGCTACTGTATGTATTTCCAATAGGGTCTTATGTAAAACTAAGTCCCCTGTTGGCGGCCATCTTGGATGATGTTTCGGCTTCAAAGTAACACAACTTGGTCAGCACCTCATAAGAAACATTCATGCCACATTTTATTTCATTCTATTCAGCGGTTCTGTAGAAGAAAACATTTGTATGTATTTCCCACAGGGTCATATGTTAAACCTACTCTCCCTGCTTGCAGCCATCTTGGATGACTAACCAGCTTCAAATTAACAACACTTGGTTAGCACCACATTAGAAACATTCATGCCACGTTTGATTTTATTTTTCCCTCTATTCGGTCCTGCCTTTTTATTTTTCACTCTATTCGGTCCTGCCTTATTTTTTTAGTTTATCCTGACTTTTTTTTTTACATAAATTGTCATCCTGCCTTTTTTTTTTGCAAATAATCTCATCCTGCCTTTTTTTTTACTCAAAACTCCTGTCCTGCCTTTTTTTTTTCAAATTTCATCCTAGCGCCCCCCCCCCCCCCCCCCACCCCCCTAAAAATCAAATGGTAGCTCCCTTAGTAAAACTAAGTTCCCCGCTGGCAGCCATCTTTGATTGGCAACATAGTACAATGAAGTAGTAATACTTTGTCAGCACCTCATTATGAACATTCATGCCATGGTTGGTTTTACTCTAAAAGAAAACATTTGTATTTATTTCCCATAGAGTCCGTCGGTTAACAATAACTCCAATAAGGAGTCGTAGAACGATTTCCTCTATGATATTGCCCTAATTGTAGATCCTGTCTTGCTGATCATTTTTGCTTATTTAAGTTTCTATCTAATATCTATTACGATTTTAAGATATAAGTCAAAAACACAAAAAAATGGTAAAAATCGTCATCAAAGGGCAATAACTCTTATAACGAGTCGACTGACAATATCGATCATGGCTTGTAGAACTGCAATTTCAAGTTTCTCTCATTTTTTTTTTTTTTATAGTTTTCAAGAAAAAAAGACAAAAATAAAAAAAGGGTAAGATTTGTCATTCAAAGGCTTCTGACAGTTTTGACATGTCCAGACAATTGGTAGAGCTCAACATTCTGAACATTTTTTATCTGTCAGATTTTTTCTATTTATATCTGTTTTCAAAATTATAGACAAAACTTGCATTTTTCCCCTATTTTCTATTTTTAGCCATGTCGGCCATCTTATTTGGCAGGCGGAATCATCGGACACACTTTTAAACAAGCTTCATCATCATAATTGTGGCTAAGTTTGGTTAAAGTTGGCCTGTAATTTAAGCGGAGGAGAGTTAACGATGACGACTGACGCCAAGTGATGAGAAAAGTTCACTTGGCCCTTCGGGTCAGGTGAGCTAAAAAAAAAAAGAAGAGAATTATGGTCTGCTTAAATATAAAGAATAGAGATTACAAATAAAGAATAGACTACAATGATCAAATTAAAAAAGAATGGAGAACAAGCATTCTGAGAGTATTGCATGACAATACATAGTCCCCTACTGGGTAAAAATTCATTTTACTGGAACAAAATGCTAACTTGTTCTATAACTTGTCATGGTGTAAACAAAAAGTAAATATCATGTCAATATCTTCAAGCATGACTAAAAACAGTGTGGAAAACTGATTATATGAGTGAAAAAAACATTAGATATGATTAATAGTTCTCTAAAATTAGATATGATGTAATACAGTGTATATCTATTTTCAAATTATAATCAAATATAATTAATAGTTCCAAATATTTTTTCTTTCATTTGTCACAAACTAATATAGATTTGTAACTTATCTATAAAATGTCAACAACTTTTATCTACACAATGTAATGTATTGAAATATATACATTAATAAAAATAGATTATTATCATTATTTTTTTTTTTTTCTATAGCATTCAGAAAATTAGTTTATACTAAATAACAAACAAACCTGCCAAAAAATTCTTCAAATAATTTAACAAAGAATGCCTTTTAAAAAATGAGTTATCTCCCTTTGTACAGAAATATGGTTCAACATAGTACTCTAACGTTAATAAGATATGGTCCAGAGTTATGGTCCATAACTCTGGACTAAATCATCAGACCAGAACAAAATTCAAACTTGATCTATAATTTGTCATGATAAAACTATATACAAAATATCAAATCAATATCTTCAAGAACGAAGAAAAAAAGTGTGGAAAGCTGATTTGCTGGACTGATGGATGGACAGACGGACAGACGGACGGAGCGCAAACCTAAAGTTCCCTACCGACGAAGTAGGGGACTAAAAACAGATTAACAGTTAAAAGAATACAGACTCTCTACATTTGGAAAAAAGACTTACTTTCAAATTCTGAAGTGACATCGGACTCATACAATAAAAGCCAGCTACAAAACTGTTCTTAAGCAAATGATATGTTCTATGTTTGCAGCCACCTCGGTGTATTACGTTTAAGCGCATTACCATTACATTTGCAAGCATTTATAATATTTGACAGGTAAATCCAGGTAAATACAGTTAATAATTATTTATTCAATTATTTTCAAGTACAAGCATTGACAAGCACCTTTCGTTATTCACAGTCATGAAGGTTATGATATCACCTGTATGTGTTCTCGTGTGACTCTGTTACATACCATGTTGACACAACCCTTTAACTTAAAAATTACAGTCATTAGGTGTATCACCTGTATGTGTTCTCATATGTCTCTTTAAAGAATCAGGCCGACTAAATCCTTTACAACATACATTACAGTCATGTTTATTGACGGAATGTGTTCTGATGTGTCTCTTTAAGCTACTATGCTGACTAAACTCTCTACCACATACATCACAGTCATACGGATTATCGCCTGTATGTGTTCTCATGTGCATATATAAATGGCCAAGCTGACTAAACCCTTTATCACATACACCACAGACATTAGGTTTATCATCTGTATGTGTTCTCATGTGACGTTGTAAATGATAAAGCCAAAAAAAACCTTTAGTGCAAACATTACATTTATAAGATTTATCTTCAGTATGTGTTCTCATGTGACGCTTGAGGTATTTATTTTGAGTAAATTCTCTTGCACAAACATCACATTTGTGACATTTTTCAACAGTATGTGTTCTCATGTGACTCTTTAGGTTAACATTTTGAGTAAATTCTTTAGCACAAACATCACATTTATGACATTTAACAACAGTATGTATTCTTGTGTGTCTCTGTAAGTCACTACGTCGAGTAAATATATTACCACAAATATCACATTTGTGACATTTTTCACCAGTATGTATTCTCATGTGTCTCTTTAAATCATAACCTCGAGTAAATTCTCTAGCACAAACTTCACATTTATGACATTTAACAACAGTATGTGTTCTCGTGTGTCTCTTTAAGTCAACTCCTCGATGAAGCAGATTATCATGAGCCTGTTTTGTAGTGTGTCTCCCTGCATTTCCATTAATCATTAAATCCTCAAACACATTCATCCTATCAATAAAGGTTATCTTCAGTATGTGTCTTCCACAACTCTGTAAGATTCACAAAAAACCAAGGTTAAGGTCAAATGGTTTGATACCTCCCTATTAATTACATGTACATTGTATGTATACTACTTGTTTGTACAAACTGTTTTGTTGTAAAAATAAAAGCTCTTAAAGTTTTAATATAATATAATGTGTCTATGTCATAATCTTTAACAACACTCCAAACTCCTACCATTGCAATTAACGAATTGCCATAGTCATGATAGTGGGATATTTTGTTTTGTATGCTCTCAAAAAAGACTGGTTGATCATTTTTCAATTATTTCACTTAATTTCCCCCATATATCCCCATTCTGACATGAAGCTCTTGTTTTTCTTAATCAGATCTGCTATGGATGCCTACTATAAGGCCACAATTAAAAATATTTCAGTTTGCCCAAACCCGACCCATGATGACTGGGTGTGGGTAGGTAGGTAGGCAAATTCTTTTTTTTTTGATCAGAATTTGCATGAAAATATTAAAACAGTATATCTTTTTTTTCCGTCAAACCTTTGTAGAGACAATCAAAAGCCATGAAAAACTGTCTGCCATTTTCACATGTTTTACTTCTCTACAGGGATGTCACTAGGTTTTGAAGTAGCAGGATTAATAATTAAAGTAGCAGGCAAGCTCGTCGCCCATCACGGCGAGGTTTTTTTTTCTAAAATGGTGCAAAAATCCTGCATTTTGGGGGCTCCTGAACTCTAATTTAGTCCTAATCAAACACCATTTTTTTTAATGATGATAAGGTAAATGAGCAGCAAGATGGTCACATATTTTCTGTAAAGTTGATCACATAAATATTATTGTCACTATAACAAGACTTTCAGCTAACAAGTAGTTGAAGTTGTTTGAGGAAAATGATGAAGGATGACTCTGTAAGACATGGTGATCATTCAGGAAAAGATTCAAATTTGATCTTATTAGTTGAAAATATTTTTAGTTTAACTGTAGACATGCAATTATTCAAACAATTCGAACCCATAGACATTTTTTTTTATTTCTCAGTATTAATAATTTCACATACTTATTACAATAAATCAAATGATGAATTGGACTGTTGCAGGCAAAAAGGTGAACTCTTTAAGGATGTACTTTGGTGAAATTAGAAAAATGTAGAATTTAAAATTGATACTATAAGTCAGAAGACTTCAAGAGCATTTAAGTTAAGAAGCAAACTAATGGAAAGAGAAGAAATCTACAATCTGCTTAAATTTTGGTATATGACCTTTTATGAGTTATTAATTGAAGTATTATATATGGGAAAAAAATGGGGGTCATGGGGCAAAATATTTTACCCTGTATCGTAGGAAAAAACCAGAGTCCAAACATCTGACAGAAATTCCAAAACCTGACCTAAGTACATCCTTAAATGCATAATCATGCAGGGCTCACACTACTTCAGAATCATAGGCAGAAGTGACTTCTCTTTTTGAAACTGATAGGGAGAAGTGCTCCTTTGCACACTGTGCTACAATGTTTGGTTTTTACTACCTATAGTACAAAGGGTCATATGTAAATAATGTTCTTTTTATATTGTTCAATTCATATATGAGTATACAATTAAAGTAAAAGTTCAAATTCAAAGTTGTTTAAGTTTAGGTTCTTGTGAGAAACTACCAACTAAATATCTAGCACTAAAAAGATTTTTTTTTATGACAAAAAGATAAAGAAATTATAATATATAAATCACAATTCAATTAAAAAACTATCTTGTTTATCATGTTTATGAAATTCAGTGTTTCTCATTAAAAGATATACAAAGTTAAGCTGGGCTATATATATTGATATTAGTATTATAGTCCCAGAGTTAATTAAGCAAGTTTAATCAATATTTTGAAACAATCCATATATATGGAATTATATACATTAATCAAGTAAATCTAATAAATAGTCTGTTAATGCGTGTGGAATGCGCAATTTTTCCATTTGGGACCAATTTCCTTGTCAGCTGTTCCATTCATGCGTCCGTAGTTATTATTGTAAAAATACGGATTTCGGTCATAGCTGGTCCGTTTCCGATCCGTAGTTAGAAAACAGTTAATGGCGGACGAAGAAAATTTACAAAAATAAACGATGTTTGACAAGCTATTTGGAAAGGAATATAACGTTTTTAATGCAATAAATGGATTAAACATTAACTGGAGGCAATTTTTATCACGTTCAAATGAAGTAACAAACTTATTTTGTCGCCGAAAGTTAGATTGATGTACGATCTCGTGTAACAAGTACCGGAAGTGAATGAAGTGATAAAAAGTTGTTTTTTATTAAATAATCTGCTTCACACTGTAAAGTAAATGCTTAAATCTCTGTTCTTCAGAAAATGAATCGTTTATGTCTGAATTTCTTTAATTATCAATGTTTCATCGACTTGGTAAAAAATGAAAACTTTGTGAAAATAATATTTTTGACAATTTTGCAGTAGCCGGTGCCAAAGCAGAAGTAACCGTTCTTTAAATCCGAAGATAAAAACCGAGAACATCGAATATCGATTAACTGCGTCTCTTACACGCTTTCTTTTAATCTTATTCACAGTTACTTTCAAACGCAAAGACGACGAACATTAAGTTTTATACGATGACGGAGCGGACACGAAAAAGGTCCGAAAAAATAAAAATCTTCAAAAAAACGGCAAAAAAAGAATTTGAGTCGGCGGGTTTTTTTTTGGGTCGGTCGCGTGTGGGCAAACATACAATATTTTTATTTTGGCCTATATAGTTATATCCTACAACATGTATAAGTCCTTATATTTTGTAAATATATCAATTCTTTTTAATGTTTGTGATAAACCCCTGCAGTTTACACTTCCAATAGGTATAGTCTACATAATATAATAAAGTGGTTTAACAAGAGTAGCATAAATAATATAAATATCTACAAGCCCAATTATATCCAAGCAGCATTTACAAAACATACACATGTGCATCTATATATAAAAGTTGTTTCGCAATGTTTCAATTTTTTACTTTAAGTTACCCCCAAAAAACTTTTGTCGTGATAAACATTATAAATGATAAAAAATTAAACATGTTAAATGAGGAAATAATTGTTGTACTAAAGAAAATATATATCAAAAAGTTCTGTGAATCTCCACAATTTTTATGCTTCAAGTCAGAACTGTTTTACTTCTATTTGTAATCAATAAAAATACTTGTTTGTTTGGCTTATTATTTCAAAAAGTCTGTTGGAAAATGCATGACAATTTTAAGTAAAATACGCGAGTATATTTATCATGTTTATGCTTAAATTTAAGGTCTCTCTCGAACTGGACTATAATTCCATTTTATGTGTATATATACATGTACATTTGTAGTACCATGAAAAGAAACATTAGACAGAATGTTCATTCATTCCATCTATCACTGTCTATTAATACTAACTTGCAGAATACAAGAATAAGTTGTCAGTATGAAGAAAAGTATAATTATCAAATCTGCATGGGTATGTCGTAGTTACTAATAATTTACTTATTCATGTACATGTATATACTGGCTGTTCATGATACAACAGGGGTGAAGGCACCATCAATTTATTGACATTTACAGCTCTGAATACTTGCAATGTTGAATGCACAATTGTGTCTTTTAGGTGGTTCCAGTAAATTATTGTGACACAAAGAATGAGGTTTAATGTTGCGGTGTTTTACTGGTGCCAGTGGTGGGAATGTCAATGCTTTGTTTATTTAATCTCACGGTGTTGCACATAATCATTGAATGACTCTGAAGAATTTACAAGGGCAATAGTACATTTTTATACGGTTCACTATAACAAGGATTTGTATAAACACTATACAAATCCTTGAGGGCTTGACTATAATTTGCTGTGTACAGTGTACATATAGAACAAATATTTGAAATAAGATTTTACTTTTGTTTTCAAGAGAAAGGAATGTTGGGCGCATTTTTACAAATCAGTGTAGCGTCATATTGGCTCTAAATTAATGATCAGAATAAAAACCGATTGCTTCTTACCAATAATCTTTAAAATGTGTATTCAGGTATTTCAAAATTATGACTTGTGTTGTTTTTGTTAAATTCTATACCGGAAGTTTTGAAACAGATAAAAAAGTATACGCAAATACGGAAATAGACCTTAGATTCCGTAAAAATAAACTAGGTATGTCACGCCCAGATAATACTGGCTATTGTTGGGACCCGGAGAGTAGTACAACGAGACATACCTAACCCCCAATGCAAAGAATAATATGAGGCAGGCATTACCTGTGAAAGGGGACGAAGTCTATATAAATTATTTTTTTTTAATTCAACCATAAAGTTCTAAATCTGTTAAAAAAGAAACGGAAATACCGTAACGTTTCCGATTTTGGTTCTGTTGTTAGGGATTTTAGTTGTGACGTTATTTTAGTTATGACGTCATATTCAATGTAAACAAAGAAACGCTATCATCAGGTAACGTTTTTTCATATCAAATGAAATTGTTATTGTGTTCCTTCCTATACTTTACTGGACTGATAAATATATATTTCACTCGAAGTCTCATGACAAACGAGACCGGAAGAAGGAAGTAGATTTCTGCGCAAATGCGGGAATTAAAAAAAGTTACAAAAAAAAAGTTAACGATTTTGAGTTCATTATAGACTGGTACCCGGCCGTTATTGAAATTCTTGACAATATTTGTATATTCCGAAGTCATACTGGATATTTTACGGAGGGAACCAACCTAAGTTCATAAGTACAATGAAAATTTCGGGAAGTTTTCCCGATTTTTTTTTTTTTTTTTATTGATTTTTCTACTGTAATAGGGGACTTTGTCCCCTTAATATGAGGCAGGCATTACCTGTGAAAGGGGACGAAGTCTATATACATTATTTTTTTTTTAATTCAAACATATTTTAAGTTCTAAATCTGTTAAAAAAGAAACGGAAATATCGTAACGTTTCCGATTTTGGTTCTGTTGTTAGGGATTTTAGTTGTGACGTTATTTTAGTTATGACGTCATATTCAATGTAAACAAAGAAACGCTAACGTTTTTTTCATATCAAAGAATAATTAGAAATGAAATTGTTATTGTGTTCCTTCCTATATTTTACTGGACTGATAACTATATATTTCACTCAAAGTCTCATGACAAACGAGACCGGAAGAAGGAAGTAGAATTCTGCGCAAATGCGGGAATTAAAAAAAGTTACAAAAAAATTAACGATTTTGAGTTCATTAGTACAATGAAAATTTCGGGAAATTTTCCCGATTTTTTTTTTTTTTATTGATTTTTCTACTGTTATAGGGGACTTCGTCCCCTTATTATCAGGATTGAGATTAGGCTACAACAAGCTAAATAAATATAGAAACCAAATAGGTCAAATCTCTCAGGCCATATATAATTGTGAATGCGGTCGGACTTTGACCCTCTCATGGAAGTCATCTGAGCTTTAAAAAGAGCTATAACATCCTCATAGTTATTTGGCTGATCAACAGTATATATGTTCTTATGTGCTTTATACAAAGGTCCTTTATTATCAAACCCTCTTATAAATGCATCACTTACATAAGTTTTATAATTATTTCCAGTGTATGTTCTAATTATCGATATCGATGTCTTTCTTTTAGCCATGTCTTCTCAAACACATACATAACAAAACAGATAACATTGGAGTATCACCTATAAAAAACAAAGGGAAGCTGGTCAGTGACAGCAAAGGGAAGGCTGAAATTTTAATTCAACAACTAAGACCCGTATTCACAATTGACAAATCATAAATCATAGAAACCATACCAGAACTACTTATAACCACTAAACTTGAAAAACTTCTCAAAGATGTAAACCCATCGAAAGCATCTGGACCAGATGGTATCCCAAACAAAATACTAAAAGAATGTGCAACAGAAATAGCACCAGGACTAACTGCCATCTTCCAAACATCAATAGGCACTGGAATAGTGAATCAATAGTACCCGGAGACTGGCTCAACGCAAACATTTCGTGTGTTTCCAAAAAGGAAGACAAACACGCTGCAGAAAACTATAGACCAGTCTCATTACCATCGGTACCGGGCTACAAATTTAAACTGTTGTCGCAATCCTGGATTTTTCCAAAACTTTTGACACTGTACCGCATAACAAATTATTATCAAAAATGGGAGAAAACGGAACTTGAAGACAACTAAACAACCGACTAAAAATGCTTCTGATACATTGGAAGATGAAAGTAGTAGTAGAGGGAGAACAGTCGGAAGAAGTAAAAGTGGACTCACTGAGTCAGGAATTGTCTTAGTCTAAAGTTCAATCATTACAAATCCAACGGATTTAGTGTGAAGACGTCATAAACAGTCTGAGAAACACATACTATTGTGCAATGCCAAACTATAAGTTAACAGTATCCACAGGTTGACGGATCATAAGTTCTCATGTTTAGTGTAAACAATATTTTATTATGAAATATAAAAATACATTTTATATACACATTCGTAAAAAGGATTCAGAAACAAGCAACAAGTGCTTATGTTAATCTGTCTCCTTGTTAGTTTAAATACATTATTTAAGGAATGACTGTAATACTTTTTCTGTCTATGAAGAAATAACATCAAAAATGTGGTGCACTCTGAATAACCCGCGAAGCGGGTTATTTTAAAGTGTGCACCTTATTTTTTATGTTATTTCGAATAGACAGAAAAAATATTACTGTCATTTCTTATAATTTAATTCTAAATTCCATTTTAAACCGGAGTAAACCATGAAAAAACGTTGATGACGTCACGGTCACATGACAAAATTATGTCTATGAGCTGATAAACAAAACAACGTCAGTCAATCAGAAGACGCGTTACATCCAACATTAAATTATACACAAATAAATAAAAAGTTACATAATAAAAAAATAATGATAATGTCAGCGAGTTACATATCAATGAACTGAAAAATCAAAGATTTCAAAAAATAAAATAAAAAACTGATGATATAGAGATCTAATAACAACAGAAAAAATACATAAAGATTTTATTACTGTGTTAAGGTTATAACCTTTAAAAAGAAGTTAATTCAAAGGATCAACAAGTTAACATGGGTTGCATTTATTTTTCGGGCTTTATAAACAACATCGCCGTAAAAATTAAGATGCGATATCCCGTTTTGAACAATAACAGGTACAGCCTAACTTCCTTACCAAATCTTTGTACCTATGAACTAATTTTGTAAAGGTTTTAATTACTTTGTCATAACAACATCCTTGACAATTTATCAGTTATACAAAAAATATGTTTACTTCACTGAAATCCAAAACGCGACTACAGACACTGTCATAGCGAATGCGTTACGAAATATACACACCATAAGGGAGCTACTATTTGATTTTTATGGGGGGGGGGGGGGGGGGGGACTAGGATGAAAAAAAATTGTCCAGCACTTTTTTTAGTTGAAATCTCTGTCCTGCCATTTTATTTTTTACTCTATTCGGTCCTGCCATTTTTTCATTATTAGTAGTTTATCCTCAGAGGCGGATTTAGGGGGGCCCAGGGGGCCCGGGCCCCCCTTTTTGGGGAAAAATTTGGTTGATTATTTAGGGAATCACTGAAGCATGACTGGAGCTGGCCCCCTCTTAGGCAGTCAGTGGGCCCCCACTTATGAAAATTTCTGGATCCGCCACTGATCCTGACTTTTAGTCCCCACCCCCCGAAACACATACTTGAAAATCAAATAGTAGCTCACTAAGTATGAACCAAGTGAAAATGACCGACCAAAAGGGTAATTAATATGTATGCGTTCTCGAAGTCTGCCAACAAAATTAATCTATTTAGCACAAACTTTAAGTTTATGACATTTATTACTAAAACAAATATATGTGTTCTCATGTGTTTATCTAAATAACCACTCTCACTGAACCCTATACCTCATACATCTCGTTTATAAGGTTTTCGACCAGTATGTGTTTTCATGTGTCTATCTAAATTACCACTCTGACTGAACCTTTTACCACATATATCTCGTTTATAAGGTTTTTTATGGAAAGCCTCAGCTGTCATATATTAGAGATTTACAAAACGTTATGCTGAAGCTTAAAATGTAAAGTTAAGACAGCGTGATGTTGAATTGAGTCACCAAAATGCTAACTCTAAATTACAATATGCTAAGTTGAATTTGCGCAATGTTGACTTGCAATGACAAGTGCTTTAGTCGTGCTAGTATAATGATAAGTCACGATGTTGTGATGATATGCCAAACACGCGTAACGTTGGGTTTAAAGTACATGATGTAAAGTTGACGTTGCATGATGTTAGCTTGCAGATTCATACTGCTCAGTCATCCACATCGACAGCTATGATAACAAATAAAATGAATAGCTAAAATGTATGGTGCTGACTTGTAATTAATAAATGTTGAGCTGAGATAGTACGATGTTATATCATTGTGATATTACGATTGGTCTATCATGCAATCTGTTGATTTAAAACACCATGATGCACAGTTGAAAGTACATGATGTTAAGTTAAGATAACACGATGCTACACCACTATATTGAAACGAAAGGTTTACCATACAATTTGTTGACTTAAAACAACACGATGCAACGTGTTAAGCTAAGATGCTCACTGGAAACTACAGGACGTACAGTTGAAATTTTGTAGTGCTAAGCTACGATAGCACGATGTTATATCATTAAAATGTCACAATAGGCTTATTATACAATTTGCTCATTTAAAACTACACAACGTACAGTTGAAAGTACGTGATGTTAAGCTAAGATAGCACGTTGTTATATCATTAGAATGTCACGATAGGCTTACCACACGATATGCTCGTTTAAAACTACACGACGTACAGTTGAATGTACGTGATGTTGAGCTATGATAGCAATATCTTATATCATAATAATATCACGATAGGCTTGCCATACAATATGCTCATTCAAAACTACACGACGTACAGTTGAAAGTACGTGTTGTTCAGCTACGATAGCACGATGTTATATCATTATAATGTCACGATAGGCTTATTATACAATTTGCTCATCTAAAATTACACCATGTACAGCTGAAAGTACGTGGTGTTAAGCTAAGATAGCACTTTGTTATATCATTAGAATGTCACGATAGGCTTACCACACGATATGCTCATTTAAAACTACATGATTTTCAGTTGAAACTAGGTGATGTTATGCTAAGATAGCATGTTGTTATATCATTTGAATGTCACGATAGGCATACCATACAATATGCTCATTTAAAACTACACAACGTACAGTTGAAAGTATGTGATGTTGAGCTATGATAGCACGATGTTATATCATAATAATATCACGATAGGCTTGCCATACAATATGCTCATTCAAAACTACACGACGTACAGTTGAAAGTACGTGTTGTTGAGCTAAGATAGCACGATGTTATATCATTATGACGTCACGAGAGGCTTATCATACAATGTGTTGACTTGAAACTACACGATTTAAATTTGAAGTAGTTTGGTCTTGACTTGAAACAGTAAAATGTTAAGTTATAAAAACAGAACGTAAAGTCAAAATAAAACAATGATATGATGACATATACTTCTGCAGAATTGAAGATTTTTGGTGTTGACTTCGAATAAAGTACAAATATTAGATCGTTTTATGTTAAATTGAAAGACAATAATGATGCGTAAAACCAGAGACATATAATACATATAATAATTGTATTATATGTCTCTGGTAAAACATTACAGAATTATGTGAATTGAAACTGCAATTCTATGGAAAAGAATGAGGGACAAATCCCCAGGATTTTTTCTTCTTCATTTGCAAGTTTGGAGGCAAAATGATATACAAAGAAAGTTTTCCATAAATTCATAAAGCAAAAGAATTACCCATCGCTATATATTACACTTGAATATAGTTTTGCCGTATATTTTACATGTTTTGTTTGGATTTTTTTTTATGATTAAAAACCAGACTTTTTTTATGAACAATATTTAAGAAAATATTTATCTATGTTGTGTGTTAATATATACAACATAATATTGTGCTTATAAGACTCATGACTGTGAGGGTCAAATTTTACTCATATAAAATCACATCTATGTAAGAGTTAGCGGAGATTTTGTATTTACCACTCCCGTTTACCACGAAATAAAACATAAGAATCTGGAGTCTTAATCTTAAAAAACAAAGATCAACTGATATGACAAATAATACGGTAAAGCGTAGGACTGAGAGGGTCAGAGCTATATGAGAACGTGACCCCCCCCCCCCCCCCCCTTCCGGCCTTGTTTAGAGGTATCTGAAAATTTGAATTTTCTTTTCCACGAAATAAAAAAAAAAAGAATTGATAGTTGATAGAATCCTACTGCATGGGGCCAACCCAAACATAAAGTATGGTAGATTCTGTGGTATACTTTTCGCTCTTACATGAAGTCTATATGAAATTTGACCTAGAGCCTCCAGTCTAAATCGTCAACTTTCAAAAAAAAATACATCATTTACAGCAGTGCCAACCATTTTTCCAGCACCAAGTAAGATAGTACCCAGGTTTATGTATATATCCACTCGGAGAATATTTTATTTTTTTAAATTGGTAAAGTCATTAATGGATAATGACCCCTATAACTTATAATAAGAAGCCAATTAATGATTTCCGTCACTTATTTTCTTGTCCATAGTGATTTTCTTGATTCTTTGCAGCTTCTCTCTATCTATATGTGTTTTCAAAGAAAAAGGAAAAAATCAAAAACTGTAAAAATTGTTAAAGTCCATGTATTATTTTGGTATCAACAGTTTGGGCCACAGAGCATTTTGCACGCTACAGGTTATGCAGTATTGTCAGATTTTGTATAAACTATACATGGAAAACTCAATGTTAGAAAATAAAAATAAAAATTGGGATCACGAGTCTCGTTTTCTGTCTACAAAACAAAACAGATAAAGTCCCTACACATTCCATCATTAGAGACGAAATATGCCAAAGGGATTTCAAACTCATAAGTCGAAAACAGACTCACAATGCCATGGTAAAAAAAATAAAAGACGACAAAAAATAATGTTATCCGAGTTATCTCCCCTATATCGAAAAGTTGAAAAACATATGCAAAAAACGTTCTTTTATTCAAAAACAAATAGTCGTTTTAATCAGATAAATCTCATAATTTTCTTCATCAAGATGAAAAGTACTACATATGAATAACATTCCTCTCTCAAAATGTGTATATTTTTTTAGATCTAGACCGATTGTGTTGAGCTATATGAGAATCTAAGGGAGCTACCACGTGATTTTTATGGAGGGGGATGGGAGTGGGTGGGGGGGGGGGGGGGGGGGGGTGCTAGGACGAAAAATTTTGTCCTGCCTTTTTTTTTAGTTGTAATCACTGTCCTGCCTTTTTATTTTTCACTCTATTCGGTCCTGCTTTTTTTTTATTAGTTTATTCTGAGTTTTTAGCTCACTGGGGCCCGAAGGGCCCCATGTGAGCTTATGCCATCACTTGGCGTCCGTCGTCGTCCGTCGTCTGTCGTCGTCTAGCTGTCGTCGTCGGTCGTCGGTACTCGTAAACTATTTCAAAAATCTTCTCCTCTGAAACTACTGGGTTAAATACCTTTAAACTTTAACTAAATGTTCCTTAGGGTATCTAGTTTATATATTGTATCCGAAGTTTTGATCCATCGACAAACATGGCCGCCATGGCTAAAAATAGAACATAGGGGTCAAATGCAGTTTTTGGCTTATATCTCTAAAACTAAAGCTTTTAGAGCAAATGTGACAGGGGATAAAATTGGTGTAATTGGTCAAGATCTATCGGCCCTGAAATTATCAGACGAATCGAACAACCCATTGTTGGGTTGCTGCCACCGAATTGGTAGTTTTAACAAAATTTTGCAGTTTTTTGTTATTATTTTGAATATTATTATAGATATATATAAACTGTAAGCAGCAATAATGTTCAGCAAAGTAAGATCTACAAAAACGTTAAATATGACCAAAATTGTCAATTGACCCCTTAAGGAGTTATTGCCCTTTAAAGACAATTTTACACAATTTGTTCATCAAGTTTGCTAACATTTAAAAACCTTCTCCTCTAAAATACAGGTGAGGGATTCAGGCTCTTGAGAGCCTCTTGTTTTTACATAAATTGTCATCCTGCCTTGTTTTTTGCCAAGTTGCTCATCCTGCCTTTTTTTTTTAAACAAAACTCCTGTCCTGCCTTTTTTCAAATTTCATTCTAGCCCCCAATAAAAATTACATGGTAGCTCCCTAAGATGGCGGAAGACACTCGATCTACCCTAAGGGCAATATGTCTAATGAGGAAGAAATTTACAATTTCGGTCACGTCGAGTTACTTGTAGATCTCCTTTTGTTGAAAAGGGTTTCTGTTTTCATTTATCTATCTATTATACTGTTCAGGGGAGGGGAGAATCGAAAAAAAAAAATACACAAAAATGGATAAAAGAAGGCGAAAGATACAAAAGGGATAGTAAAAATCTTAACCAAACTGACAATGTCATGACAAAAACTCATGAGCCGAAATAAACGAGAGAAAAAAGATCAAAAGCCAAACAGCAGTATATTAAGAGCAACATATAGAAAACCAAAAACCGAGCAACACGAAACCCTCAAAAAAGGGGTGATCTCAGGTGCTCCAGAAGGGTAAGCAGATCCTGTTTCATATGTGCCACCCGTCACTTGGCGATTTTGCAAATAAAGAAGGAATGTGTTATAATTTTCGAGGAAATCCCAAAATAAACATGAACTACAGGATGTCAAATCGATGAACGTGCTTAAGTTAGGCTCCTTTTCATAAAAAAGAATTGATGAAAATGTATTTGTATTTAGTGAACAGTGGCAAATATTACATGCATATAAGGACTAGAATATGTAAGTGTAATATGAATATGAATAAATCTTGGCTCTGTACAAGACATATTTTGCTTGCTTAGCCGAATTTTTAACAAACTAGTTGACAAACCGACTCTGACAATCTATGGAAATCTAAATAGCATCGGTTTTGATTAAGTCCAGATTTTTTGGTTTTATTTCGGAGAAAGGGGTGCGTTTTACGTACAGTGGCAAATATTACATGCATATCAGGACGAGAACATGTAAGTGTGATATGAATATGAATAAACCCTGCTTTGTTACAAGACATACTTTACTTGCCTAGCCGAATTTTCAACGAACTAGTCGACAAACTGTCTCTGACATTCTATTGATTAAGTCCAGATTCTTTTGTTTTATTTCATGGAAAAGAAAATTCAAATTTTCAGATATCTCTAACAAGACCGGGGGGTCACATTCTGATATAGCTCTGACCCTCTCAGTCCTGCGCTATAATCGTATTATTTGTCATATCAGTTGATCTTTGTTTTTTTAAGATTAAGACTCCAGATTCTTATGTTTTATTTCGTGGAAAACGGGAGTGGTAAATACAAAATCTCCGCTAACTCTTACATAGATGTGATTTTATATGAGTAAAATTTGACCCTCACAGTCATGAGTCTTATAAGCACAATATTATGTTGTATATATTAACACACAACATTGATAAATATTTTCTTAAATATTGTTCATAAAAAAAGTCTGGTTTTTAATCATAAAAAAAAATCCAAACAAAACATGTAAAATATACGGCAATACTATATTCAAGTGTAATATATAGCGATGGATAATTCTTTTGCTTTAAGAATTTATGGAAAACTTTCTTTGTATATCATTTTGCCTCCAAACTTGCAAATGAAGAAGAAAAAATCCTGGGGATTTGTCCCTCATTCTTTTCCATAGAATTACAGTTTCAATTCACATAATTCTGTAATGTTTTACCAGAGACATATAATACAATTATTATATGTATTATATGTCTCTGGTTTTACGCATCATTATTGTCTTTCAATTTAACATAAAACGATCTAATATTTGTACTATATTCGAAGTCAACACCAAAAATCTTCAATTCTGCACAAGTATATGTCATCATATCATTGTTTTATTTTGACTTTACGTTCTGTTTTTATAACTTAACATTTTACTGTTTCAAGTCAAGACCAAACTACTTCAAATTTACATCGTGTAGTTTCAAGTCAACACATTGTATGATAAGCCTCTCGTGACGTCATAATGATATAACATCGTGCTATCTTAGCTCAACAACACGTACTTTCAACTGTACGTCGTGTAGTTTTGAATGAGCATATTGTATGGCAAGCCTATCGTGATATTATTATGATATAACATCGTGCTATCATAGCTCAACATCACATACTTTCAACTGTACGTTGTGTAGTTTTAAATGAGCATATTGTATGGTAAGCCTATCGTGACATTCAAATGATATAACAACATGCTATCTTAGCATAACATCACCTAGTTTCAACTGAAAATCATGTAGTTTTAAATGAGCATATCGTGTGGTAAGCCTATCGTGACATTCTAATGATATAACAAAGTGCTATCTTAGCTTAACACCACGTACTTTCAGCTGTACGTGGTGTAATTTTAGATGAGCAAATTGTATAATAAGCCTATCGTGACATTATAATGATATAACATCGTGCTATCGTAGCTGAACAACACGTACTTTCAACTGTACGTCGTGTAGTTTTGAATGAGCATATTGTATGGCAAGCCTATCGTGATATTATTATGATATAAGATATTGCTATCATAGCTCAACATCACGTACATTCAACTGTACGTCGTGTAGTTTTAAACGAGCATATCGTGTGGTAAGCCTATCGTGACATTCTAATGATATAACAACGTGCTATCTTAGCTTAACATCACGTACTTTCAACTGTACGTTGTGTAGTTTTAAATGAGCAAATTGTATAATAAGCCTATTGTGACATTTTAATGATATAACATCGTGCTATCGTAGCTTAGCATTACAAAATTTCAACTGTACGTCCTGTAGTTTCCAGTGAGCATCTTAGCTTAACACGTTGCATCGTGTTGTTTTAAGTCAACAAATTGTATGGTAAACCTTTCGTTTCAATATAGTGGTGTAGCATCGTGTTATCTTAACTTAACATCATGTACTTTCAACTGTGCATCATGGTGTTTTAAATCAACAGATTGCATGATAGACCAATCGTAATATCACAATGATATAACATCTTACTATCTCAGCTCAACATTTATTAATTACAAGTCAGCACCATACATTTTAGCTATTCATTTTATTTGTTATCATAGCTGTCGATGTGGATGACTGAGCAGTATGAATCTGCAAGCTAACATCATGCAACGTCAACTTTACATCATGTACTTTAAACCCAACGTTACGCGTGTTTGGCATATCATCACAACATCGTGACTTATCATTATACTATCACGACTAAAGCACTTGTCATTGCAAGTCAACATTGCGCAAATTCAACTTAGCATATTGTAATTTAGAGTTAGCATTTTGGTGACTCAATTCAACATCACGCTGTCTTAACTTTACATTTTAAGCTTCAGCATAACGTTTTGTAAATCTCTAATATATGACAGCTGAGGCTTTCCATAGTTTTTCAACAGTATGTGTTTTCATGTGTCTAAGTTAAATACCACTCTGACTGAACTTTTTCACCACATACATCTCGTTTATAAGGTTTTTCAACCGGTATTTGTTTTACTGTGTCTATCTAAATTACCACTCTGACTGAACCTTTTCCCACATACATCCCGTTTATAAGGTTTTCCAAAAGCATGTGTTTTCATGTGTCTATCTAAATTACAACTCTGACTGAACCATATACCACATACATCAAATTTGCAAAGTATTTCACAAGAATGAAGTGTGTCTTTGTGTAATAACAAAGCTGACTTCAACCTATAGCACACACATTAAAGTCATCGGTATGATCACATGTATGTATTCTCATTCTTTTACCACATAAATCGCAGTCATGAGGGTTGACGCCTGTTTTTGTTCTCGTATGACTCTGTAAAATACCATGCTCACTTAACCCTTTACCTCATACATTACAGTCATAAGGTGTTTCACCTGTATGTGTTCTCATATGTCTCTTTAAAGAATAAAGCCGATTAAAGCCTTTACAACATACATCACAGTCATAAGGTTTATCGACGGAATGCGTTATCAAGTGTCTCTTTAAGCTATTATGCTTACTAAACGCTCTCTCACATACATTACAGTCATTAGGTGTATCACCTGTATGTGTCCTCATATGTATCTGTAAATAATCAAGCCGGCTAAACCCTTTACAACATACATTACAGTCATAAGGGGTATCGGCTGTGTGCGTTCTCGTGTGTCTCTGTAAGCTACCATTCTGACTAAACCCTATACCACAAACATCACATACATTAGGTTTATCGCCTGTGTGTGTTTTCATGTGTGTATATAAATGGCTAAGCTGACTAAACCCTCTACCACATACAATACAGACATGAGGTTTATCACCTGTATGTGTTCTCATATGATTCTGTAAATGATGAGGCCAAAAAAAGCTTTAAGGCAAACATTACATTTATAAGATTTATCTCCATTATGTGTTCTCATGTGTCTCTTAAGGTAGCAACCTATAGCACACACGTTAAAGTCATCGGTATGATCACATGTATGTATTCTCATTCTTTTACTTATTTTTGTAATTTTTTTTACATAAATTGTCATCTTGCCTTTTTTTTTTTGCCAAATTGCTCATCCTGCCTTTTTTTACTCAAAACTCCTGTCTTGCCTATTTTTTTCTAATTCCATTCTGGCCCTGCCCCCCCCCCCCCCCTAAAAATCAAATGGTAGCTCCCTTACGTAGTCGTGCTTTTGTTTGTAAAATCGTTGGAAAAACATTTATTTCTTGAAGACATCAAAAAAAGAAGAAAAAAGTAAATGCAACCTATTCACGTTTAGTCATTTAATCTTAAGCATAGAATAACAATAGACAATGCCAGCATAATATATAATGGGGTACTCTTTCATTGGAGGAAGATTCGTTTTATAGTTGCATTATGACTCCTATCTGCCTTCTGTGTACCTATCTATGACCATCTATTAAACGTGTCTCTATATTCACAATTAACCAATATTTGTACTGTATAAATACTCAATAACATGACACTCTAATTATGAGGTAATCCTTCATTGGAGGAAGATTCGTTTCACAGTTACAATGTTGACTCAGTCCTACCTGCCTACCGTGAATCTTTCTCTATGTGTCTGGATGTTTTATATTTACAACCAGTATGTGTACTGTATATTGAAACAGACAATACTCAATACTATGTCAAATATGTAGCAATACTCTGTTTAAAATGACAAATGTGCGACAAGACGCCAATTAGAATGACAGTTCATTACCTGTAGCCATGACAGCTTTCGTATTAATTGTTATAAAAGATAATCACTCATTGACAATTCAATTCAATATCTATTGAAGATAATGATCAAAATGATTATTTCATTAAACTTAAGTATTTGTTTAATATGTTTTTTTGTTATTATTTTGCTTTCTGTTTTCATTTATATTACATATGTTGTTGATGCTATAGCATTATTTTATATGCTGATTTGCAATAAACTTATTACAAAGTGTCACACTATTTAAGTCTGATCTCTGAACAATATAATATTATATTATAGATATTATACAACAAAGAGCCATTATGTACAGAATAATAAGAAACTATATATATATATATATTAAAACAGAGTAGAAAATTCGTATACTAGTATCATAAAACATAAGTATTTGTACATTATTTACAGTATATCAAAACAAACGTAAAATTATATAAATCCTTGGTCTATTTTAAATAAAATAATAGACTTTGAATTTTTTGGGGCCCTTTATAGCTTGCTGTTCGGTGTGAGCCAATGCTCCGTGTTGAAGGCCGTACCTTGACCTATAATGGTTTACTTTTATAAATTGTAACTTGGATGGAGAGTTGTCTCATTGGCACTCATACCACATCTTCCTATATCTATTTGCCACTGTGACAGCTACAAATCATAATAATATCTGTGAATAAAGACACTAAGTCTAGATTTCTGTTTAGAATCGAAAGACAATCATATTTTTTAACATCACTAAAATTAGAATCTTTTGTTTCATAACATAATTTTTTGCTGAAATCGTGATATAGTGGACACGATAAAAATACATGGGTTTCATCTTCTGAGATTTCTTTACGATAATCACAGACTTGATCTTGTAAAATTAAATTTAAAAATCTCCCGGTATTGATTCGTATGGGAGTAACCATTTAATTTCAAAAAGGGAAAAAGGGGGGGGGGGGCAGTTAATGCTTTTCTGTGTCAGAAACCTTTATTTAGTTTTTCAACGCTATCAATCAAATTATTTTTTTCTAATTTAACGCTATAAGGTATGGGGGAAAATCTGGGTTCAAAATATTTTGAAGTAAAATGGTCGTTCCCTAATGGTGTCACTCTCATCTTAAAAGAGGGTCTCTCATCGAGTTAACAAAACAGGGAATGGTTGGCAAAAAGTGCAGATTAAAGGACACTAAAAATTAAAAAAAGAAAGAAAAAAAATAGGCTTAAAAAAATAATAGAGGATAACGGACATGTGCTTAGATATAAAGAATAGATAATTGTGGGCAAAATTTATAAAAAATAGAGAAAAATAGATTAAAACATTAAAGAATACAGAATGAAAAGAACCCCATTCAGACCCTCTTGCATTTTGGAAAAAGATCTCCTTTGTGTACGTATGACATCGGATTTTTACAATATGTTTTAGTTACACAACTGTTCTTGAGTAAATAAAATGTTCTTAATTTGTTTGGAAGGTTTACCAGATAGAGCTCTCTCCGACTATAAATCGCATTGCCACTGATTCATATCGTTACTAAACATTATTGACATAATGATATTACCAACTCATTTGTCACAACTCGGCCTATTCGGTAGAATAGCGGATTCACCCGAAGATTGCCGTTTGATTACCAACTGAGTTACTATCAATATGTTTTGTTATTTTACACAAATAGAGTACATAATACTCAGAAGAGGATTTGCTTACATAAACTTTACGTAATATGTACATGTGTAGAAGAAGTTGTATCTTATGTTTGTATTATAGGGAAAACAGAGCATTTATTCTGCCATATAGGCGACAATACACCTTATCGCTATTTGTCCGCCATTACTGGACATCACACTGGTTCCCGTAAAATTTTGACGTCATAATCTGACACCACATGACAATGGAAAAGTGATTGTTGTATGACGTCAATAGTTCAAGCGGGACAGATTCTCGGGTCAGCCGGGAATAGCGATAAGGTGTATACTAACATTTTCTTTTACCACTTTTTATAATAAAAAAAATCCGGACAAAACAGTTATATACATGTAGTATCATGACCAACTTCCAACGAACCTTGTTTATGTTATCCATGTCCATCGTCATTTTGCACCAAATTTATGAAATTTTTGAAGTCTTTTTGAATAATTCTCTAGAAAATATTTCAATATATTATATAAACACTGCAGTTATTCAAAAATATATTGTACCCTTACATCTATTCACAGTTGACATCCTTCACCTGCCTTGGTTACACAAAAGACCAACCTGAAGCCGGGAAAATGTAATACTGCTTTTCCCCATGATAATATGTCCCCCTTTAGCCTTTATACAACGATAAATAACCTCCCAATAAGGGCGTATCCAGGATATTAGGTTAGGGGCGCAGAATTTAATTTTGGCAGAGTAGAGCGAGTCGAATTTTATTTGAAAGGTAAAATCATCGAAATATTTTTTATTAAGCTGAGGACAACCCATGTTTTGCAAATTTAGGGACGGGACACGCCTGCCACGCCCCGCCTGAATCCGCCCATGCTCTCAATACCTGTCGACTTACAATTACTAACTGTTTGATGCACTTATACTTCCAATTGACCGTTTCAGAATCTAAAGGACTCTGGGTAATTTCATTGTTCGTACCCCAAAATGAAAAAAAAAACGCCACGTCATTGGTTGTATTTCCATTGTCTATGACATTTTTAACCAATCGCGACGTTTTAGTGTACACTTTTGAAAATATTACCCAGGATGCATTAGATTCTGAAACGGCGAATTGTGACATATGGGTGTGACATAGGCAAAAATCGAAATTAATTACATGCTGGGAAAAAATCAACTACAGTGTTGTCGACATGTGCTAAAAATGAGATTTTCTTCGCCAAATTTTATGACATATGGAGAATTTGGTCGTACACAAATCACGCCAATAGATATAGTTACTAATATAAGTAAGTGGTTTTTTTTTTAATAAACTTCTCGCCAATGCTATGTTTAGACTCAGCAATTGTCATTGGAAGTAAATAAACTAAAAAACGTTCAGAGATAAAATCTTGAAGATGCATACATTCAAAAAGGGCATAGGCAAATTGACAATTCTTCCAGAGGAGAATTCTACGGTCTGTTTAAAACAGAAATGTTTGGTTTAGAAAAGTATTTTGTACAATTATCACCAATCGAACGTAAATAAATTTATTATAATAATAATTAATTAGATGCTGACTGTTCTGTGAAAATTCCAGTAGAGCTAGGTAGATGGTACAATATTCCGAAAGTAGAGAGGATAATATGTAATTTGTGTTCAAATGAAACAGGTAATGAATACCATTTCTTATTCGAATGCAATTCCATCCTAGTAAAAAATATCAGAAATCAACACATTCCAGACAAACATGAAAGAATTACTATCATTGGGGTTATATAGATTACTAAAATATATATTTATTCGCCGACTAAATCTTATACCACAACCGACCGTACAAGGGCTGTATAGCCAGTCAAGGTCGTTAAAAACTACCATCATCATTTTACAACTTCAATCACAGTCATGGGATTTATTAAATGTTTTTTCTTCTTCTCATGTGTGTATATTAATGACCGAGCTTACTAAACCCGTCACCATATACATCACCCTTATGAGGTTTAACACATACATGTATGTGTTCTCGTGTGGTTCTGTAAATCACGACGCTGAATAAACCCTTTACCACATCCATCGCATTTATGAGGTTTCTCCCCTGTATGTGTTCTCATGTGATTTTGTAAATGGCCACGCTGACTAAACCCTTTGCCACATACATCACAGTCATTAGGTTTATCTCCTGTGTGTGTTCTCATATGTATCTGTAAAGAATGAATGTGACTTAACCCTTTACCACATACATCACAGTCATGGGGTTTATCGCCGGTATGTGTTCTCATGTGTCTCTGTATTATATACTAAGCTACTACGCTGACTAACTGCTTTACCACATACATCACAGTCATGAGGTTTATCACTTGTATGTGTTCTCATGTGCGTATATAAATGACCACGCTGACTAAACTTTTTACCACATACATCATAGTTATGCGGTGTATCATCTGTATGTATTCTCATGTGATCCTGTAAGTCACGACGCTGACTAATTCCTTTACCGCATACATTACAGTCATGCGGTTTACTAGGAGAATCGTCTGTATGTGTTCTCATGTGAATATATAAATTACCAAGGTGACTAAATCTTTACCGCATACATCCCATACATAATGTCTATCACCGTTATGTGTTCTAATATGACTTTGTAAAGCACTAAGCTGACTAAACCCTTTACCACATACATCACATACATAAGGTTTATCACCTGTATGTGTTCTCATATGAATTTGTAAATGATCAATCCGACTAAACCGTTTACAACATACATCACAGTCATGGGGTTTATCACCTGTTTGCGTTCTCATATGTCTATGTAAATGTCCTACCTCACTAAACCGTTTACCACATATATAACAGCCATGGGGTTTATCACCTGTATGTATTCTCATGTGGTTCTGTAAACCACGCCTCTGACTAAACTCTTTACCGCATACATCACAGGCATGAGGTTTACCGGAATCAACTGTATGCGTTCTCATATGTCTCTGAAAATTACCTCACTGACTAAACCGTTTACCACATATATCACAGTCATGGGGTTTATCACCTGTATGTATTCTCATGTGGTTCTGTAAACCACACCTCTGACTAAATTCTTTACCGCATACATAACAGACATGAGGTTTAAGCCCCGGTCACAACAGATCGTACGTTTTTTTGTCATGGAAGATCTATAAAATAGTTGTCGTGGTACTGTCGTGCAAAATGTCAAAAAAATATTTCGAGTGGTCACATCAGCTACGACATGTCCACGATGGTTCCACGATGGGTACACGACAGAAAAAAAAGAATTGTAATTGTACTGTCGTGGGTTTGTCGCAAGTCGGTCGTGCGACAGTCGTGCGACAGTCGTGAGTTGTTTGGGGCTATTTTTCAGGTTTTCATGTCATGGGATGCGCGTGTTACTGTCGTGTCACTGTCGTGCCACTGTCGTACGACTGTCGCACACCAGTCGTGGGTCACTCGCGCGTTTGACTCTGATCTACTAGTATATAAAGAAGGCCCGATTTATTGCGTGCCATTTGCCATTTGCTTTCAATATTGTTCAGTGTCATTATTAGGTCGGTCCAAGTAAACGACGTTTTTCGTTTTAGTTTATATTGTAATTGTTCAGCGAATTTAAACCAGAATGCCCCCGAAAAGAAAAATTAACAAAAGACAGGTGGTAGCAGTAAACGTGGATGATGTTGACCAGACGGAGGACCCCCTACCACAAGCTGAAACATATGACGATTTGGAAACTGCTGGAGACGACCCTGCTGATAATTTCGTCACTGTGACGGGGGACGGGGAGGAGTCTACGGACAATGACATTGGTGCTGTCCCCAAAAGAGCGAAGAAACCTGTGGTTACCCAGGCGAAATCCAAGAACAAGACCCCTGACAACGAAGGTGGTACTGTTATCAACATCGCCCTACCAGAAGATATTTCTGAGGAACAGGAGTTAAAAGATCGCGGCCTGGGTGGAGGACAATGAGATGCTGTACAACCAGACAACTAAAGAATTTAAAAACAAGGCAAAGAAAGACAGGATGGTCGCAGATTTTTGGGCGAGTGTGAGTACCATTTAATAAATCAAATGTTATTCCAGTGTGTGAAATGCGTTTTGATGTGTTTTCGTTTTGTTGCAGGGATCAGGATAGACAAGTGGTACAAAAGCATGCGGTCCTCCTACGGACGTATAAAGAGAGAGTTTCAGAAGAGCGGCAATGCCCCTCCAGTCTTGAAGTACAGGGCTGCTTGGATCTGGAAACAAATGGCATTCCTGAAGCCCTATGTGAGGAACAAGACCCCCGGTGATGCGAGGGGCGACTCCCAGCAAAAGCTCTTGAAACGTGCCAGGCTCCATCCGCATGAATCCAACGAAATCACCGGCAGATTTCCGCTCCAACTCTTGCATCAGTGTACTATACTGCCCAAACATCAGGCGCCGTTCGATCCAAGGCCTAACCCACCAACGTTGGGCGTTTCGCTGGTTCCTATATTGTTCACGGGCTCGAATCAACGCTAACAGGGCGGACCATATTTTGCTCTTGTTGGAGTCCGGCAAGGCGCCTATTCAGCAGGGCCAAGCGTAATCGTTATGGTGGAATAGCCATCCTCTTTAAACGGCAGACGGTATGTTTTTCCAAACATTCATTCCTGCCGAATTGTATTCTTCTAAATAAAACGAAAATATGTTGCACGACGAACGTACCACTGTCGTACGACAGACAATCAATGTTGTGCGAGCATCGTACGAAATTTGGTATTCGTGAGACAATCGTGCGACTGTATCACGAGTGTCTTGCGACAGTTGTGAGATTGTCGTACGACAGTCGTACGATTGTTTGATTAAAATGGTTTATGTTGGCACCCATGACAATGTGTTTATCGCACGACTGTGGTAAGACACTCTCACGACAGCCACAAGACAGTGACACTACAAAAAATCGTAGAGCAAAAAAGGGGCATGTCCAATTTTCGTCCAACGACAATTGACATCGCCACGATGCTAAAAATATCGTGCGACTGTCGTGCGACTGTCGTGCGACTGTCGTACGACGATCACAGATGACCCGCGATTTGACCAAATTTCATGTCGTGGCGCTGCATAGATGTGTCGTGGGTTCGTTGTGACCAGAGCATTAGTCTGCACTTTTCGCCCATTATGCTCTATTCTGTAAACCCCACCAAGACCCTCATATATGGAAACGACAATAGGATGCACCACAACAACTTTAAAAAGACAACATAAACATTGCTATAAAGAATATTTACATAGAACGACGCATGCTTTTATATGAACTCCAGTGGATTTTCTTTCAACTGTATTCAAAGGAATTTTAATTTTCCAATATCGAATTTCTTCTTCTAAGTGATACTTTTGTCCTTTGCATATAGAGTATAACTTTGTATGTCATAGTAGATTCAATAATTCAATATGTTTTACAAAACGAACGCGGATTTGTTCTCGACAATCAAAACCTATTTCGGAGGCCTAGACAGAACCGATGAAGATGATAAGAAAGTTGATATTTCTCTTGTAATAATTAGTTATTCTCCTCGAAACACTTTATTGGTCCCAATCAATTAAATTGTTCGAAACAATTTTTGCACAAAATATCTTAACTTTAATATTCCTTAAACGAAGGATTTATTTTGTCGCCTTTATGAAAAAACAGATACTATTCTACTCTTATAGATTCGCAGTTTTCACACATGTTCACACAGTGATTGTTGCAAGATTTTCCTTGTATATGGTTGTCAAGTGATGATAAGTGTTGAACAATATCTTGCCAGATAAAGCATTAACAATTTTTACAGCTGTCATTAGATAAAATCGGACAAAACATTTGTTATTCAAGAATGCAAAGTACCAAAATGATTGCCCCATTGCCAACCATGCTATTATTAATTTTCTTAAATGGCGGTTTAAATAAACTATTTATGGCAAAAGTGCTGTTGTCTATTAATAGGATCGCGATATCTATATGTGATTTTACCGCATTTAAAGATATAGGGTCCCATGGCTTTTCTTGGTGATTTTGGGGGGGTTTTATGCCATATCAAGCGATTTCGAAGAAAATTTCCCAAAATTGTGATTAAAATAAAAAAAATCTCCGGTCCTCAATAATGTACTTTTAAGGACAAATTCATGCTTGCATGAAACTTTATTCATTATGCTTTCCAGGAGAAAAAATATGCAAACGATATAATTACCAATCACAGATAGCAAGCTATTTTTATCTTTATGTCATGTTCCTTCGCAATGGCTGCGAATATGCAAGTTTTCATCCCAAAAGGATTCGTGGTTTCCATCCCGTTTTTTACGCTTTCCTACTGATATGATACTTATCCTGGTATTTTTAATTTTTTGGTTTTTTCAAATGTGAAGTCATATTAGATACGGATCTCCAAGAGATGACTGGGGTACGAACGTCATCGATAGACTTCTCCCTTTCGGAAATTTTGGGTTTTACTGACCTAATTTGTTGGAGGTATAAATACGCAGCCACGTCCTTTCGGAATGAGGACGTTGAATCGTCTAGGATGGGTACCACGCTTTCTGCAAGAACCATTGCAATCCGTATGTGACCTGTTCCAGTCACAATTAATTTCCCTATCAAATAACATGCACTCCTTTTATTGTGGCTGTCCAAAATACCGTCCTTCATTCTCGTCGACCTACCTTTCGGAACCTTCATATTAAATGTTAATTTGTGTTCATCCGTTTCATATATATATGGACGTAGAGCAAGCACAAATAAATCATCATACTGTTTTGTAAAACTTTTCGATGAGGAGAACATGTCACAATCACCAATCCAAGACGCGTTTTACACATAAAAAGCAAGTAGTTCAACAGAATACTACATGAAACTGTGTCTGTTATTCCATTTGTTTCGTTTTAGATTGTACAAGATGAAGGTCATAAAGTAATAAGTAAACTTACGGACCAAAATGTTTTCATATATCGTCATCTTCACAAAATTACGAGATTTAGACGTTGTTATTTTTAACGGATGACAAATATCAGGAAATCTATTGCAGATTTTGCATCAAGATTAAAAATCTGCAAATAGTTATATTACTTCAGGAAATTATGCCTTCTAATAAGATCTTACGATTATAATATTCAATAAAACATTAATCATGTTAATGGTAAAAGTCCATAAATTCGGAATAAAAACGTTAAAAATAGAAAAATCAACCTCGGGTCTTATCTAATATGACTACAAGTATAGTAGATATGATATAATGAAGTTTTACTGTGGAATCACGATAATGAGGGTCTTGATGG